GACCAACTCGGGATACGCCCAGAGTCACGGAACGGATTAAGTTCGTATCCCGAGGTACCACTGTATATGCAACAAGAAAACCCCAGATTCAGCAGACAGAGTTGAATGTACAGCCTTTGCCATTTTGCTGTGGGATCCAGAAACTCTTGACAATCTAGCACAAATCATGCAGAATTCTATTCATATTTCAGTTTACCTTTTTTTCCTCTTCATCTAATGGATGGATCGTGAAATTAGCTGTTCCACTGCCTGCTGACTCAAGCCTCTTGCAGTTACTCATAGAGGGGTAGGTACATCTTTAAGCTCTGCTAAGGAATCAGCTTAGGTCAAAAGACCTAACTGTAAACAGCTGCATTAATCAAGAAAGTCTCTGAACAAAAATTGGCTGAAACCACCTATGTGGCAAAGGGATAATGTTCCTTGTGATATCTACTTATGCCTGGTTTCCAAACTGACAACAGCCAGTTCTGATAATACCAATTGAGTTCTTGAGATAGTGAAGTAGAATGAACCTCCACCCTCCTGTGTTGAGGCTGTTAAAGATGACTGGGCCAAGGATGTGTTCACAGATCTTATGTAAAGCTGTTTCACAACGAAAACTGATTATTCCTGCCATTAATCAGAGATAATAAATTAATCAGACAGATTAGGAATTATCTAGGTACCTAACAAATAAAGACAAAAACACATCACAGTGACTCTACAGTAAACAAAGGCACCAATATTTAAACAACAGAGTTTTGCAAAGGTTTTTCTCTAACATCAGTCAGCAGGAGTCTGGTAGCATCTTTTCTGACTAATAAACATTATTAAAAGGCATGAGCTTTTGTGAGTTGTAGTTTGCTTCCTCAGATGCACAGAGGCTAGCCACTGTAGGCATCTAATGAAGTAAGGTCCAACTTTCAAAAGCTCATACCTTTTAATAACATTTATTAGTCAGAAAAGGTGCTACCAAAACAGGGCTCTCTTTCTGCAATCCCTAGCACTGGGTCTTTCTTGTACACTTTGAACCCAGTCAAGATTCATTTTTTCTGGACTGGATTCAAAATGTGGAAGAAAGATTTGGGGTATAGTGAGTGGCTACCTGCTTGTGCTCTGATTTTTTTCAGCAAGCAAAATCAGTTAGGCTTTCTAAAATTAGAGCTAACAAGGGGATCAATAAACATCTGTGTCAGTGGATTAGTAGTAGTAGTAGTAGTAGTAGTAGTAGTAATAATAATATCCCAGTTTCAAGGCCACCCAACTCCACAATGACTCTGAGAGGTTTACAATGAAGTAAAATTAAAAATAACATACTAAAGAGAAGAAGACATAGCCAACCAAAAGACTGACCCAAAACATAGAAAATGGAAAAATACCTAAACCAAAAAAAGATAGAGGGGCTCGATCAACCATTCTATCCCAAGAAAACAGAGACAATACTGCTGAAGCAAAAGAGGCAGTCATTATTATCACCCTGTCCTTTATCAGGATTAAAGCATCTCAATAAGAAAGAAGGCCAAGGAAGGCAACAGAAGAGATACATGGGCACACCTTCAACTATACCCACGTATAATGAAAATGAAGATTGTTCACTAGCATCTTTAACAGGAAGACAATAACAATTTATTATCTAGTGTTGTTATATAAGATGGTGTTTTATATGAAGGGGCACAAAAGAGCTTCCTGCCTCGATTTAACCAAAGTAAGGATGAGGTGAGTAACCTGTAGACCTACCAATACTGTGTAGGATTCCAATTCTTGTTGGCATGATCAGAGAGGATGGACATCATAATTCAACACTTGTGGAGAACCACTATGCGTAGTGTTGGAGACTAAGAATAACCTGTCCTGGGAGATATGGACTTTTCATCATAATGTGCAGTGCTGTTTAATTCTATAGGAATGCTCCCATATATTTCCATCCAGAAACAGTAAAATACATTGGATTGTTTCTGCATGGAAATATATGGGAGCATTCCTGAAATCAACAGCAAATAGTAACACCCATTCACTCAGATTAATTATACAAAGCTAGTCAACTTACTTTGACATATGAGGCAGAAAATCCCTTGGCAGCAAAATTCCAGTGACACTAGGTTGAACAATGTTAAGCTGAAAAGAACATGTTAAATTTTCCAGATTTCAGAGCTACAAATACCTACCTACCTACCTACCCACCCACATTCTCCAAAGATTAAGGTTATACTACTGTTTTGGGACTCTCCTACCTTTCCTGGAAACTGATAGTATAGGCCAAAACTTATACTTACAAATTTGTTTTCCAGTCCAGATAAGACTCTACTCCACAGCACTGGAGGCCTGCTTGAATTTCATCCATAATAAATTGGAGATCTGGGTCATCCTGGTAGTGTAACACTGCCACCATAAGAGAATTTTGCAAGGAGGCCTTGATGTGGTGTCTCAGAGAAAAAAGAACAATTCCACTCAAAACTTCCAAAATCACAAAGGTTGTTATTCCTCCAGTAAAAAGCTTCAGAAGAAAAGTGTTTTCAAAGAGGGCTCCAGTACAGCCCAAAAGGGATATAGAAGTAGCTACTAATCCCACTAATACAAAAAAAAGCATGGGGTCACTGCCCAAATATGCTATTCGCTCACTTTCCAGTGATTCCTTCTCTGAGAGACCCCAGATTCCTATGGCCAAAATGAATAATCCTATAATGGAGAAGGCTGTGTTCCAAACAAAGGTCAAGCATTTAGCACAGTAGCTAAATGAATCCAGAGGAAGATGGGAAGGCTGATGAAGGAGGTGCCATTGTCTTGTCTGGTTCCAAGAACAACCACTTTCTTTTCCCTTGGGGCTCAGAGGAGTACCTTGTACATTATATGAACAATGTATGTCCAATTGGTCATTCTAATCAACATAGAAGAGAACCAGAAAATGTAAATTACATATCAGACATAGGAAACAAAATAAGGGAGATATAACATGCATTATTCCTATTTGGAAGTGGAATATATAATTGAAAAACTCTGAAATACAGAAAAGAAAGTTTTTTGTATCAACTTTTAAAATGTAATACTTCTACATTATGACTGATTAAAAAAAACCCCACCAAGATTCATTCATCTATGCCACTAGATTATACATCTAAGAAGTTTAGGGCCCCATGGGGATTAAGTATACCCCTCAATACATCTGGCATCTATGGCATGGATGAGGAACCTATGGCCATCCAGGTGTTGCCAGACTTGAATATAGCATTAACCCTAGCTACTATGGCCAAAGCCGAGAGTAGCTGGTGTTATAATTCAACATACATGAAGGGCAATGTTTTTCCTACTCATGCTCTATTGTTCCATAGAACAGGGGTGGGAAAACCAAAGTCCTCCATGTATGTTGATTTCTGACTCCCAGTGTTATTTATTTATACACTTTTGTATGCTGCCTGCTCTAATGACTCTAAGTGGAATATGGTACCACCTTAAGAAAAAAATCTGTGAAAGAATATAATAATTTTTAATAAGGTATTTGTAGTATCTCTCACAACCATGTTTTCTGAAATAGTTTACATAGAAAAGGAATTTATAGCATTTTGAATATTAAAAAATGGACATATACCTTTATGGATGCCAATCTATTATCTGATGTACAGACTATTATTCTGAGAGAGGAGCATAAATATATCAGTGGTTGGAGGTACAGGAAATGATAATTATTAATCAAGAGTGACCGAACACTTGTAGAATGTGAAAGATTCTTGCCGTGGTGAGATTAACTATCTAGTGTGATAGGAATGCTTTGTGTCCATGTAATCCATGGAAAATAGAACTGAATCTTGTTACAGTGGTCATTATAATACACAGGAATTTAAAAGGTGGGTATTATCAAGAAACAGTGAGAAAGAATTCATAAAAAGGAAAATGCTGTCATTTATAAACAAAAATACAAAGATTTGGAATGAGAAAAATGGCTAATAATTATTGTAAAACTATTTTAAGACATCTTCTGAGAAGTGGGGATGAGGGATATGAAGCCAGGAGGTGCTGCTTCTCATTGATAGTGTGGGAACTGTACTTTGGGACAGCCTTCTGGCCTAGATCAAATCGGCCCTCCTCCTTGATGGCTTTCAGGAAGATGTTAAAGACCAAATTGTTTTGAAGTGCTTTCTAATCAGTTAAATAAAAAATAAGAAATGGCAGATTCTACTTAACTGTTTTATTTATGTTGTCTTATCTATTTGATTTTATGATGCATTTTTCCATTCAATTTAAATTTACTGTCTCATGAATGTTTTACTGTTTTCATTCCAAATTAGCTGCCAAGAGTCACCAGACTACTGCAGAATATTTATTTTATTTTTATTTATCAAATTTGTCAGTGCCCATCTCGTGAAATTACTCTGGGCAGTTTACAACATATAAATGAAATAAATAAATAGCAAATACTTGTAAGGCTTCTCTTTACTTGGCTTCCCCATGTTACCACCTATCCATGAATGGTGAAAAGACAGATGAGAAGGGTGGAATGGTTCTAACTGAAAAGTCTCTATTTTGGCCACTCTAATCTCCTGGCTCTATTTTTGGAGGTCAAAAGACAATCATCCCTGACTCCGGTCTAATCTTGAACCAAAAAAAAACAGCTAAGGGAACTAATTCTGGTTAATGTGCTTTTCCTTAACCACAACGATTTCAGTCCAGAAGTCAAGCTAAGCTCAACATTGCCATGGTTTAGCATGTTGTATGAGCCAGATTTATTCAGAATTGCTGCTTAAGGAAAAATATATGAAAATGCTGAAAAACTGTTGATATTAAAAATCTTAAAATCACCTGAAATTATTTAACTGAAAAAGTTATGTACATGTTTGATTTTAGATTTGATTAGTATTGTATTTCTTCTGGCTGCCTAATTTAACTTCATTCAGAAAATGTTCCACCCCATAAAGTCATGGCCAGGAGAAAAAAAGATACTGATGGAAATGTAATGTATAGTTAAACAATTTGAACAGAAAAAGGAACCATTTCTAATAACTGCAGTGATGCAATATGAAAAAAGTGGTGGTCCGGGTTGACACTTGTATAGATGAACATGAATATAACAAAAGTAATTTTGATAAGAGCAACAAACATCAAAAGGGTTTGAAAATGGTTGTCAGCAAAGAATTTTTTTTTTAATTTAAAAAGTCATTTAAATAATCAAAGTCAAAATAAATTTACCTTGATGCTTATTAAGGGATCCTTATGAGATAGCTACAATGACTCAGCACATTTATCTGGAAAAAAGTGCCATCAAATTCACTGGGATTTACTTTTAATAAATATACTTGTTTAGGATTATTAATACTATTTCTTATTGGAGATTGCTGCAGGATGGATTAGAAAGTTTACCCCTCTGGAGCATTATCATCACACTTTCTTATGCATGCTTGTTAGGCAACAAAGAATAAATTATCACCCAGTTAAAAAACAAACACAACTGAAAAATAGCACCATATGCTAAGAACAAAGACTCAAGATCAAGGACAAAAACTGAAACAAAACCAACATATAACACAAATCCTTGTTATTACCTTTGATAGCAAAGTTTTCATTTCATCTTCTCCCATCTTGATGTTCTGAAAGTGGAGATACTTCAAGAAAGAATTCACAATTGTAATAGGTTTCTTCATATTTAATGTACAGCATGCAATGGATCTGAAATGATTCTGCAGGTCTTTGGACTACCCAAACAACAGTCCAACATTTGTGTATGAGAAAAACTTTGGAGTAGGCCCAGCACAGTCATGCTTGCATCATGTGAGAAATCACATTTCTCAGCTTAAGGAGTCTTGCTTTGTCTCACTTGCTATAAGTATATTCATTAAACAGTAGCATATCATTATGCCTGTCAGCTGAGTGCATAGTATAACTATTAAGGCTGTGCAAAACATTCAGATAGTTAAGGTTTGCAATGCATGGGAGTGCAAATAAAGCACTTCTCTTTCAATCAGCTATATCTTTTGCAAAGCTCCTAAACTTAAGTTACTTAAAAAGTTGCTTCCAACTATTTCCACTAAATTTGAATGCTTTGCATGACCCTTTTAACTATATACTCAAAGATGTACAAAAATGTGGATTGCTGTTGCATCAAGGCCTTCTATAACAGATATCAAAATCATGTACAGAATGTAGAGTATCTGGCCTGCAATCCACTGAATAAAATATGGATGTAGATGTGAGATTCCCAAATTCAGTTGTAAATTATCTGCATGGCTGAAATTAACTGGTTATCTCTCACCCTTGGTTTCCTATCTCTAAAATAGTAATACAGTGGTACCTCGGGATACGAACTTAATCCGTTCCGTGACTCTGGTTGCAACT